CAAAATCTGCTAACCTCCTCAAACCTAGCATGCCGCCCAAGCAAGATACCCACAGGGAAAAAGGCCATAGTAAGGTCATCTCTTCTAGACTGAATAATCCTGAACTACTTCTCCAGTCTTCTACTCTTACTGCCCTTGATAAGTTTGCCTCTTTCCTTCTCTATGTGGAGAGGCTCTAGGCGTATCTCAGGTGAAACCGTCAGGAACAAGGTTGTGGAACTTAAACTTCTATTTATGGTGACCAGAACAAAAGAAGTAAGTCCAAAACTAAGGGTCTAACGGCCGAAAAGCATTTTGACTTTAACTTTGTAAATGCACTGCCTTCATAGCTTCAGATTTTGTCAAGGCTCAAGTTCTCTGTTGTTTTGGAGAAGCCAGGCTACCTCCTATCCTCACTTAAATGTAGCATTAGGCAATAGCATGTTATCAGGTAATCTGACCACAGCTTTAAAGACCATTAGGACTTTTAAGTTCATCACATCACTTGACTGTATCAACCTCTCTGTAACTGAATGACACGTATTTACTGAGAGGAATACTTTAGAAATCCTGGGGTTTAGACAGCTATCCAAACTGCCAGAACTCCAGGGGAAATACAACAAGACCTTAAGCAAACTTTTTAACAATTGCCTTCCAGTCCTGCTCTCAGATTTTCATGTCTTTCTAGGGTCCAGGATTCTCCCTCCATCACAATGTTCTTTAAGAAATAATAAACAGATCTTTTATGTATGTTGCTGCTAGCACAAAACTATGGTCTATGTCATGATGACTATTTCTCTCATGTCTTTACAAAGAACAGTGCTATACAGGGGTATGTATAGTAAACAAAAGTTAAAACAATTCCCACCAACAGGCCAGTAATAGTCCATTCCCATATAAATCAGAGTATTTGCCATGAAAGTTTAGAAATACTCATCACAGACCTTGAAACTTGAAGTTTAAAATGACACATGCAAATACTTGTCACCAGAATTGCTATAGTAACCCTTTATCACATAGACAACACTGGAAAATTTCACATTGAAATAGCATTACTTTCACAGTAATTTCACACACAGAAAAATAAGAATCTCACGAAAATAAATATCTATCATATACCACCCACTTCTAATGAAGATTTGAATGGCTGCCAAGAGAAGGGGCTGCTATGTGTCAAAGCCTCGCAGGCAAGAGTGGTCAGTATGCTGACATGAGAGAGAAATCATGTTGTAACAGAGAGAGGTCAGCGAGCACACAGGACCACAGGAAGAAAGCAGTTGCTAGATTGAGATAAAGTTGCACTGAACCCCTATTCCAAAATGATCTTGCATGTTGTTAGTAATTTTACTGAAGGAGGATTTCCTAGAGGAGCATTTTGCCTTCCTCCCCTATAATACTAAATGCAGCTGTCTAATACTTTATGAGTTTTATTTCTAAAGAAAAATACTGTAAGTAAAAAGCCTTTTCTCTCTACACAAGGACTGCATGCCCCATGGAATTAATTTTAGAGTAGGAACTAACTTCTGTTCTTTGACAAACATTTATACTTTCACTACGTTAAATAGGAGATGTATGGTCAGAATTTGTTTGTACAGAACTGCTGCAAGGATAAGAAAACCTTCTGATACAGGTCACTCTAAATGCATACAGGCATTCCAAATAAGAAAACATAGGTACATTAGGTATTTTAGGGTCACCCAGGAGCAAGAATCTGAATTTTATAAAAATATTTAATATTGGAACACCTATTGTTTTATACAGAAACTTAGCTAACATAATATTTGATACTGTTTTAAGGAGAAAAACACAATAATGAAGAACTCTATCTTTTAAAGGTTATGCTAGAAATTTTATAGTTTTGATCATGTTCTCTGCTGTCACACATATGTAGAACCAAAAATATTAGAATTCAAATATCAAGTGAATATCAAATACCATGAATACCAGCAATATGACCAGCAATAATAAAGCTTCTTTTTTACTTAAAATAATAAAACATAAGATGAAATTATCTTTCACATTGTATTTTTGAAGAAAATGGTCAGTCAATTCAAAGATAAAAAGATAGGAGGGGTTACTGATCTGTTACAAATATACTTCTATGCAGTAATGACGTACAAGTTGAGTAAAATGGAGTACTTCGTGAATATCACTGTAAGAAAGAACAGGTGTTAATGGAAGACTTAGTGCAAAAAGAATTATAATTGTGCTTTGATCTTAGCATGGACTTACATGGCTATCAGAAGCTACATGATATAAGAAGCTTTCTAAGTGCTTCTTTTGTCAGCATGGAAATTTCGTTCTTTGAAACCAGGAAGCCATTACTTCAGCCAAAACATACAGTATTTTTCATTTTGGATTTTTCATGGGCATAGTCAAGACTGGAAAGATTACTTACTATCATGGCTGATTGAAATTTCCACATTTTTTTAATGGGAAACTGGGAATTTTAATTTATTCTACTTGTATGTGAACAGCTTCTGTTTTCTGTTAAGACTTTAAAAATCTTCAAAGAACAAGAAGTCAGAGAATGTTGAGGTTTTTCAGCTAAAGCTTTCAAGAAAATATTCTAAATGTTGTTCTGGGGAAACTATCTGCATCTGGGTTTCAGTTCAAAAAAGTACAGTCTACACACAGATGCGTAAGATATTCAGACGTTAGTATAACCTAGGGAGCGATTGAATAGACTGGTTATTTATCAGGTTTAGTAGCTGCTTATAATCAGGATCTGCAATTCCTGGTGGCATGAATGTATACAATTAGTGTCATTTGAGAGGTTCGCAGGACATCCAGGACAGCTGCACACGACTGACAGATACAACAATGGACCAATGGGAGGCTCAAACCCTTGTACAAGTGGCAGCCAGAGGCCCGGCCCTGGATCACCTCGTACAGCAACAGATGCTTACGTGTGGACAATGAAATTGAGCCCTACGAGACTCCAGTGAGCTGTAAAAGCTTTCTAGGTGCACTGCATCTTGAGCTGGCCTTCACTGACTGTGAGGAGTGCTTAGACCTCACATATCAACATCCATACCCAAACATCTATGTTGAGGCATCTTAGTCCAGAGCTGAGCTCTTCCCTCAGCAGCTCATGCCATCATGATTTCCTCATCTGCATATTTCCAGAAATTATTTCTGGACTCAATCAGGCAGTCAAGACAACTAAATAAGTACATATCCTGCTACCACGAAAAGAGCATTTTGAATTAAAAAACAATGAAAAGGCAGTATTAAGAATAATGGCAAATGTGCTTAGAATGAAAAACAACAAAACAACAACAATGGCAAAGAGATGACGATTTTCACTAGGAGGAACTATTGAATTTTAGATGTAGAAATACTCATCCTAAATCTTGAGGGTATATAGTTATACTACCTTGTAATTATTATCTTAATAATCCAGGGCACACAGAAGGTGATAAGAGTTTCCTAGGCATTTTTAGAAGGTTTTTCTTATTCTTTGCACTTCTCTTACAATCATAACGATTTCTCTGCCTTTCTGCTCTGAAAACTCAACACTAAGGACTACCACCTCATTTTGCCTACAGCTATTACAGCTACCTCAGTTCACAGTATGTAGGGGACAGAAGCTCCAGAGATACTGTTCACACGAATTAAGCAAGAGACACTCTCCAAGGGGCTGAAACGTGGGAGCTGGGCTTCCAAATCCAGAAAGAAAGGACATGAATATTAACACAAGTCAGCACAAGTCAACATCAACTCTGAGGCAGACCACGGGCTCACATCACAACATCAGCTCCTCTGAAGGGGCCATTCAAAGCAAGAGTGCCTCACAAAAGTTCCGTCTCTTCATTGGCACCCAGCAACAGAGAGGCCACAGGTATTTCTCTGTGTAGGCCACACATCAGCAGTCTACTGGGAAACATGTGTACTATCGTAGGTTGGTCATTTCAAGTATCATTTGAACTACCCACATAATATAGTTAAACAGAGTCCAGCATCTTGCAGGGAGGGTGTCAGGAAATGTTACAGCAGGGCTGTAACTTAAGCACTTAAGCTGAGTGAGCATAAATCCTATGGCTAAATAAACGGCTAAAACTGCTATTGAACAGAAAATGATGCTTTGGATCAAAAAAATCTGAGAAAAATGCTTCCTTTCTGCAGGGAAAAAGAAAAGGTAGCTGTCAAAAAAAAGTGTCAATTATGGTCGGTAAGCCTTGATTTGTAATTATGAATCTGAAATACAAACAGAAGTCCTCACCAAAAGCCTTCACAACTGGCTCAGGCAATCTCTTGGCTAATATAGTCCCCCAAGCCAGAGTTCACCTCCCATAATGCAGCCTGGGTATACAACTGCTACAGTTTTCCAACAAATTTTCACTAAGCTTAGATCGGTTATTAGCTACTTTTCTCTCTCTTCTGTTGCTCGTTCATATTTCTACTGCTTTGCAACTCAGATACCTTGCATAGAATTTTTGCTATATCACATATGCTAGTGCATTACCAGATTAGAATCCAAGTTAGATGCCTGGCTTTCCACATCTTTAATTACAGCTTCCACAACAAGGAGTTCTGCTGCTCCTAAAGCAGAACTAATTCGAGAAGCGTATACAACTAATCAAAATAGATAGTAGTGCAGTATTTAAAATAATTGAGGCCTGCCTGGATTATAGCGACATTATTAGTATGTGATTAATAAGCAGTTGAAGTGTTACATTTGCTACACATTTGCTAAATTATTTTATCTTGCTTTAAAGTTAGGTGGCAAAGTTTCAAGCCACAGTTAAAAGATTTGCTTTATTCAGTATTATGTTGTTAACCCCACCATCTGGTCAAACAGGTGAGGGAACTCAGACAACCATATGGGAGTCCCACGTTTCTCTCTTGAGAAATACTTGACTTACTGAATTATGCAATGGTTACCAGTGTCTAACTTTTTACAGTGGGATCAAAAAAAAACCCCAAAACATTAAAATACTTTGTAAATAATCTGAGTTGCATGGACCAGGTATTTAGCCCCAGCTTTTGTAGTAAAGATAAGATGAGTTGGCACTTACTTGAGGACCAGGTTGACCCTGAAAAATAAGAAAAACATAAGGTTACAGAAAGTTATGGAAAACGATTAATTACTTACACAGTAGCAAACAGTTATAGCAATCCCTAATTGTAACAAAGCCAGATTCTGAACTCTTAGCTCTATAATGAATTTGAATTAAAGAATTATTCATTTCACTGTAATTAACTCTGATTGAAAAAAAACACAGTAACACATTGTTGAAGTCGTATTTGAGAAACTTGATATGTTTAATAGACAAAGTAATGCAATACAGAATTGATAGAAAAGTCTGATTCAACTACACTCCAGTTTAAAAGAATTCACAGATATTAAGTTGACTTAGAAGTAGATACTAGGTATTTTGCCTCTATTATGGCTCACCCTCATGTTTCAAGGAGATGCTAATATTCCTGACTACTAAAGGCACAACGCCTGCAAACTGGAGGAACATGTTGCTGGGGAATCTATACAGTCTTTCTCTTGTTGCTGCAAGAAGCACAGTTTTAAACCAGTGTATATCAATATTTAAACCTGTAACACAGCAAGACCTGAAATCTGTCTAGTGCAAGAGGTGTCTTGGGAACAGATTTATCCATTTCTTCTCTTCTGATGATAAGAAAGACTTATCAACAGCACCTCTGGGCCCACTCGGGCCCAACCTCATGCTGTTGCAGGCCCTTCCAGAGCAGACTTTCTAAAACTATGGTCCCTAGCCTAGAGAAGGCACTGAAGGCCATCCTTAATTCCAGTCCTTTCGTTATATATTATTTGCATGAAGCACAAATGTGTTACAAAACAGCAGCATAGCTGTGATTATGCACTACAACCTCACAATTAGCTCACACTGCTACAATTACTTGTAAAGATTTATGCCTTTCCTTATAGAGAATAAATATTTATACTCTTAAGGCCGGCTTCACTGCTGGTGTTTTATGGCACTTCAATAATATTTCAGAAAATATTTGGAAAATAGAAATGCCATTACAGAGGAATTTCAATTTAAACACATAATTATTACGGCTATCCAGTCTTTAAACTGAGAGAAGCTCAAAAGATTTGTTATTATGGCTACAATTCTGCATTAATTCCTTAAACAAAACTGCACTACACAGTTTTTCCAGGCAGTAAATAAATAAATAGATTTCCCAGTTTCAGTATAAAATAAAGCTTTCTGAATTGGCCGGTTCGATGAGGTTACACAACACACTGGAATAAAAATAATTGGGATAACTCAGCACTCAACCTTTACTTCAATTTATCAATCACAGCAGGTTTTAAGGCATTATATGTTAACACCTGCTCCTAAATGCATTGGGAAATGTTATTGATACAGAACTGGGAAATCTGTATAATAAATAAATGTATGTACAAATGAACTAAACAGAGACCTGTACATGCAAACTTTTATATGCAAACTCACAATGCATTGTCTCACAAACCTATCTAAAACCACCATATATTTCAACCAAGAAAAGACTTCTGCAGGATATATAAAAACATAGATACAATTCTGAAGTTAGCAAAATGCTTAAACAATTGACTTAACATTGACTTAAAGCAACAAAACATGTAAACAGAAAAAAACAGTCTTTTAAAGAGAGATCTAAATGCTGACACTTCTGTCTTAACTCTTCATTTAGATATACAGGCTACTGAGTGTTCACATGGCACATGCCATGTATAAGACAATGGAAATATACTCCAAATTATATGCCAAGGATAAAGTCATGTTCCCATGGAAGTGTCTTCTGCTCATCATTTCAATGGCACCTCCAGCCTGTCTTTCTGTTATTGTACATGTAAATTACTCTTTTCATTTCCACGATAAGGACACAGGAGAGCTGGAAAACCAATTTTTACAGGACTGTTTTTACAGGACTGTGAACTCAGACACAGCGAATATAACAGCTGAACTACTCTTCATATATATACATATGTATACATACACATATATACATATACACAGCCAATCTTGTAATTATCCACCAGTTAAATGTATACACAGATGATGGATGCAAAAGTACCCACAGAATTTTTTTGATTCTGTTGCCTATAAGCTCCTTAAGCCCAGAAGGAACTTCACCTCGTAATCGATCGCTTAGTCCTTCAGTATTTCTGTATACCCCTACACACTCCTTGTGCTGCTAACTAGCAACAGCAGTCGAAGTTTAAGTTCCCCTTTCACAGTGATGTTCTGCTAAACAGAAATGGTACTAAGGAGAAGATGCATCAAGCGCTATATTCTGCAACTCGTCTGTTCTGCTTACAAAGGTACCAGTAGAAAGACGCATCGCAACACTGACCTTTTTTTTTTGTAAGGGACTGTTATCATTTGTGTTGCAATGGGCACAACAACTCACCATGAAGGAGATAAAGTAGTGGCAGTTCATTTCACCTTCTCCCACAGTGTGTTGTTTAAGAGTGAGAAATAAATAGTTCTATATAAGGTATTCTTTCTTTCATTCAAATAATAAAAATAAATCTATCTCAAATATGATCTAATATTCTATTTTGAGGAAGCTCAGCCTCAATCATTATGCTTGTATTCTCAAGAAGGTTCCAGGATTGCCAAAATCAATATGGCTCAATATTATTTAAATTATACTTAGTGTTTGTTGCTCATACATTAAATGTTTTGCCTCAAAATAATTCTCTTAACTTTAGATTTTGAAAAAAAATCTAAAATGGTATTTTTAGCCTAAGAATATAAGCAGTGCTTTGTTTTGTCTGAGTTTATGTTAGCAAATGTAAGAAAGAACTGGGTAACAGGCAAGAAGACACCAGAAAGCAATCTGCCATCCCCACCTGAAGCCCTGAAATGAATACAGACAACTCTCTGGATGGTCTGCATTTCATATTCCTTATTTTGGATAGGAAACTAACACATTTGTCATAGTAAATGAAACAGACTAAAAACTATCTTGTACTTATCAACAGGCTGTTGTCCCCTCCAAGCATTTATAACTCACTCCCAACACCAATAACCATCCTGCTGCATCCCAATCACTGCTTTTAATGCATGTATCATTGCTCACGTACTTCATCATTCACTGCACTACTAAATGCTGCCTTCTTGTTTTTTAAACATGCCTCACTACCATCGCTTTATTTGCTTAATATTTCATGGTTTCAGCAGAATATTTTCTGTTTTCCTATTTCTGACTTTGGCAGTCTAATTATTTTAACCAAAGATCTTGTATGGTTGGTAATTAATCCCCTTCCTTCAATTTAACCTGATGTAAGCTGCTGATACGCAAGTGACACTGAAAGGAGATGATAAAGGCGGGCAGGAAGGTCTAGCACTGAAGTCAACATATAAAATATCACTCTGCTAGATGAGATGATTAAAGAAAAAAAAAACAACTATTGATTGGAAGCAGGAAAGCTACTTAGAAGTAGTCTATCCTGACAGAAAATGATAAGGAAAGAAGGATAACATAGCTCATCTCCATTTCCTTGGATGGACCTGTAAGACTGAAAATGCTGTTTGGTGCTCTGGCTTAAGTCTATGCTACTGTGGTTAAAACAAGTCATGCCAAAGTAAGCCAACATGTGTTTAA